AATTAATGGGCACGTGAGGGCCGCTGAGAAACACCTTGACATTAAGACCATCAACTAAATTCAGCAGACAAATGTAATTCTCTTTCAATATGTCTGATTTTCTCAGGGCTGCGTCGCCCAAGGCTTCAGCTTGTATGATGAGTTTTTCCAAGGTCGGGCGTTTTTTCATGATCTTTGGAATGATGTCTGATACATTAGACAATGGTAGTAGTGGAATTAATCATTAACAGATTATGACCTAAAGACACATCTGCTTAATTTGAAAAACATTACAAGACATGAAAATGGAGTTTATAGAGAGAAAGATGTGAAACCTTGCATATAGTCATTCAGTTGATATATTTTTAAACTAATATACAATAAAAATTGTTCAAACAGAAAGATTAAGTATATATAAATATAAAAATCATCCATGGTTAGCCAGGGAACTAAAGAAAAATTATCTTCATGGAAAATGTATTAAATCAAGAACCAGTGATTCAGAAACCAGATACCAAAGCTATATAAATAAGTTAACTGGAATAATAAGGTCTAGAAGAAAAAACTTATATTGATATGAAACTGGTAGCTAATGAGGTGAATGAAATCAAAAATACCAGCTGATATTCTCTGCGGTATGGTGTGACAGCCAAACAGGAATAGATCAGATGATGCTACTATGATGAGAAAAAGCAGAGAGATCATAAAGTTAGAGATTGAACTAACAAATAGAATGAGCGAGCAGAATCAGAGAATAGAGATAGAATGAAGCCGAATGATGAAAAGGGGTCCTCCAGCAGTCTAAGGCTATAGCAGAATATCTGTAGAGATAGCTCAGAATAACCTTAACCATTCTCACTATAAGCTTTATCAAAAAGGAAAGTTCAAGCCTTGCCTTAAAGTAGTCAGGGTGTCTGCCTCACAGATTAAAACTGGTAGTTGGTTCCACAGGAGAGGAGCCTGATAACTAAAATATCTGCTTCCCATTCTATTTTTAGAAATTCTAGGAACCACTAGTAAACCTAGTAGGCCAACAACCTTCTTTGCAATGATGGAAGCAACATAGGAAATAAAAAGACACTTAATCAAGGAAATGTGCAGCTGGTGATTCATAGTTTTTAAGAAATTATTTGATACAATAAACCACTCAACATTAATTAACAAGCTACAGCAGTACAGCATCAGTGGAGAGGCGCTGGATTAACAGTTACCTATCTGAGCGAAAACATTCAGTCAAACTGGGTGATGATGTATGGAGATCCCTTTAGGGTCCCTCAGGGATACGTGTCAGATTATTTGATATGTAGATACATTTCAAGTCTTTAAATGATCAGAGGGATCATATATGTTGATGAAACTATTATTCTGGAAATGATTTTAAGGAAGTAACTACTACTATAAATCATGAGTTAAGTACAATTAAAGCTGGATGAATACTAATAAATGATCATTGAATGTAGAGAAAACGAACGATAAATGAACATATAAAAATGTATTATTATAACTGAAAATATAAAGGCATTTAAAGTACTGGGTGTGATAGACAGAAAAATCAACGGAAGTCCCAAATTAGATACATCCAAAACAAAATGGCAAAAATGAAAAGAATAAAGCAGCTGTTAGATTACAACTACTTACCAAAATGCATTAAAGTCATGATGAGTGTTGCAGAAAAGTGTCCATATCAAACAAAGGTGGATATCTTGATCTTTTAAATGATTTAAACTTAAGGTTTGTTATCATACAGAACAGATCATGCATAAAGCTGGCAAACAATTAATACCGCTAAATATCCTAAATGTTTTAAGTCATAGAGATCTATCATCTCTATCATTATTATTATTACAATTAGTAGTCCTTTAATCACTATTATTTTTTATTGTTATGGATATTGTTGATAACCTATGTGATTATAATTATTCAGAGAGAAACTTTTTAGTTTTGTACAGCAAAGATGTGTTATTAAATAACCAATGTCCCCTCCCCAGCTGAACAAAACTTTTTTTTTCGTGTGTTTCTCCTGATGTTTTTTATTATCGTC